CGGTGTTTGTAAAAAAAGGACCAGTTTTACACTTTTACTTTAATGACACCTTTGTTTACTTCAATTCTTAAAAATAATTTTGCCTTTTAGCCATCCTTCTCAATGGCAATAACTTAACTTATTGCCCCCAGGGCAAATCTCCCAATGGCAAAGGGGAAGGCGGTTAGGACTCAGCGCGGTAATGTTTGAGCCACATTAAAATTTCAATCTATTCATTTTTAACCACACATTTTTCAATAAAATAATATTTTTCATCACATTAATAACTTTTCCTATTTTTTTCGGTCACGCATTCTCCATCAATCAACTATTTCAAAATACATTCTTTCAAAATAATGTAGCTCAAACACACTCTTAGACTTGTTTTCACTTTTTAAAAAATTTGAAACTTTGTCAACAATTATTTTTTTTCTTTCCTTTTTTTAATTATTTAAATTGAGGTTAAATTTGTTTTTTTTTTTTTTTNCCTAACAGTATGGACGATTTTCACAACGTTTGCTTGATTTGAGGTTGAAATACAACAAATTGAACTGATATAAATGTTTTGCACAACGTTTACTTGAATTTGGAGTATCGCACCAAAATGAAATAATTGAGTTGTTTTGCGGTAAACATGTAAAGGATGGGATTGTTTCGTCCAATTAACCTTAGTTATTTATTTTTGGACGCCGTAAATAATTTTCTCACTGATCAAAATTGATATTAATGTATTAATCTATTTAAATCTAAAAAGTAATTGGTTTGTAAAAAAAGAACCCAGTTTTACTTATTACTTAATTTAACAAGAAAGAAGTTTTAAATGACACCTTTGTTTACTTCAATTCTTCAAAATAATTTTGCCTTTTAGCCATCCTTCTCAATGGCTGGAAAAAGCAACTTATTTTTTCGTTTCGACTCAAAAAAGAGACGAAAATGAAAACACAGAAAAGAAATAAAAAAATATATCTTTAAGATTTTTTAATATTTTGCTACAGAAAAAGCATTGAAATGTGATCCAGTACTGGAAGGGGGCAAAAGGTGTAAGGAACGGCAAGAATTAGAGATTGCGACTCTACGAAAAGGAAAATTTAGACAAGTCATTTTCGTAGTAGGCTCACTATTTTCTACAGTTATCTTGTCATTTTCACCCATGCTTGCACACACAAATGGATGTCCGTGGAGATTGGTTGGGTGAGGCATGGTGATGGAGGTCTTGTTTGGTAGTGCTTTTAAATGTGATATTAAGCTTATGTTTGATTTAACTAAAAATTAAATTCGATAATAGTTGATGAGTACATGACTGAAAATTTGATAAAAGTTGTGGATCTCATAAAACAAAACGTGTGGTTAAAAAATAAGTTTGACAAAAAAAAGAGTCAAACAGGGACTAAGCGAATGATAAAATTTGGATCCAACGAAACGTGAGGATAAAAAATATGCTCGATCAATTTAAAATCTAACTCTAATTTTGCCGAACGTGCTAGTGTTTTTTGCGAACCGAGGGAGTTAGAGGGGGCAGATCACTGAACTTTTAACGATCAAATTAATGGACACAAACCTCTAAATCAATTTCTCGTAAAATTGACGTTTACTTTTGTCAATTTTTTAATCATATTTTCATTTTTTTAAATCAAAATTTGTTAAAAATCTGATTTTTAACCCAGTGAAATGAGTTAAAATTTAACAACTAATATAAAAATTCACAATTATTTGAAAGGGGTAGGGGTAATTAATGAAATAGACAGGACAAAACAGAGATTTTTTGTTGAATCTACATCACTTTCACAGGTCCCGATTAAAGGGAATTAATTGGGTTGTGTGTAATAATTAAGTAATAATTCACAGTAAAAATAATTAATTACTGGGAATGTTTATGATTCATGATTATATGCCCCCACGAGTTGTCTCCGACAATCGGATTTCGGGTTTCACGCTGTGAAAAAAGTGAGAATTTGCAGGGAGGCGAGGGGGTTAAACCTTGAATATTGAACTTACGGAATTAATTTTTTATTTAACAAATGAGATTTGCTTCATGTACAAAATCAAAATCAACATAACTTCACCGGATCACTCACACGTGTGGGTTCCGCAATTTTTTTTTAATACACAGTGGGGTCCATCTATTGTGAGTATTCTGATGCTTTTCTTTGGAAACAATTCCGTACGAATAGAAAAATTGTTAACAAATTTAAAGTCAAGATAGCATAAATTAAATGATTTTGTCATTAAAAACTCAATATTTATGCATCCGTGAGATTCTTACAAAAGCTAATTTAGGAATATTTTGCTAATTGGATAAATACATCATGTAAATTCCCTTAATCTTAATTAATATTAAAGAGAAAGAGTTTAAAATATTATTTAATATAGCATTTAATTATTTATAAGATTTGAGTATATGTTATGTCCTTGTATTTATTACGCCGAACAAGGTGGACCAATAAAGCAACATTTTAATCCTCGTTAAGGAAAAATTAATAAACGATTTAATTAATAATTAGATAGATATAAGTGATGAATAAGTAAATAATATACTCCCTTCGACCTATATACATATGCTGAGTTTCCTTATTTTCTTGTCCAAAATATGTAGGCTTGTTTCTTAATTGGGANTATTCTTCTTGATAAAATTGTTCTTTTAACATTGAACAGCAAGTGTATGTGTGGGAAATAACCCATATTTGACAACCATTAAAATGAGTGTTTGGAGAAAGAGCAATGCTACTGGTATATCGGCGTGTACATAATGTGAGTGGGGGTGGGCCGTACGCTACAGTGTCGTGGGCTCCACCATACTCACATTATGTACACGATAATGTACAAGTAGATTAATCCTAACATTAAATAAGATTTCTTAATCCGTGTAAAAAATGAAACAAGCTTATATATATGGGACGGAGGGAGTATAAGAGTTCATTGAAATGCGTGATTGAAATTAAAGTTTTCCAATGTATAAAAGCGTATAAATTGTGTCAAATAGATGCTTAACTCATGTTTTGGCCATTTCCTTTAAAAATATATATTTTTAAACTCATTTTCAACCACGCGTGCTCTCAATAAAATAATTTTACACGTAAATTCGAAACTTTCAATACTTTTTAACTACACATTCTGCAAACGATCACTATCACAAAATTTATTTCCCAAAAAAAGTGGGGCTCAAACAAACCCTTAAATGTTTCTATTTTTCCATTGACGAGTCCGTGCAAAATATATGACTAATATGAACTTAAACGCTGAGATTAATTGACTTACATCGCTACTCAAAAAGACATTCTACTTGAAAAAGCTAAATCGCAAACTTTAGATAAAAAAAAACGAGCAGTTCTAGTAAGATTTGTAATATCAATTCTCAATTAAAAATAAATAAATAAAACACGTATCCATAGACATGAAGCCTATGGTTAATTATGAATATATAATTCACACCATAGTCCAAGAGAAACAAACAAAATGATTTGAATACATCCAATATTATACAGATGCTTCAAAAGGGACATCACAATAAGTTCTTTCTGCCCCCTAATTTTCCAGCCTCAATATGCTAAATTTTGGCAAATGGGTCTAATTCTAATTGCACCAAGGACCACCATACCATGCCCATTTGGGACCAAGGTCCTATCTTTTAAAATAAGGAAAATTCAATGTACTCCTTTGTCCTCAATGTGCGTATTTTGTTTAGACTCGTAGTTCAATTTGTTTATATATTTTTCAAAGAGAATCTCTCTTTTCATGATTTTTGGTACTTGATTTGGACACAACAGAATTGATTGAGGTGAGCGAAGGCTATTGGGGCCAAAATGCATTTTCTATTTTGCTCTCCGAGGAAGAGATAACTCGACATGATAAGGTTAGGACTTGTTTGGTGTAAAAGATTCATGACAAATATAGCTCACTTTTAAGCACAATTAAACACACTTGACAAAAATGAAAAAGTTCCTTGGACTAAAACAAAAAGAAAAATAAAGACAAAAATTACAATGCCAACTGAAAGATGTTAACTGTGCAATTCTTTTCCAATTTATATAAGCATACAAATGGCATTGTTAATTTGCCAACAAGTAGAGCTAAAACTACAACTTGAATCTCATTTAGTGCTATTTGTGTCAATTTCACTTTAAGCATTACTAGCTGGCCATCTAGACCTTGTGGGAATTGGGCTTCTGAAGCAGGCCCAACATGACAGGCCCGCCAAGCCTATTCGACACCACTATTTCGAGGCCCAACGTTTCAAAATGAAAGCTTACTTTGCAACTCATTTGATTCACCTCAAAGAGCAATTTGGATTAAATCCACGATCAGATTGTAAAATAAGTACTTACTAGTTCAATCTTGCCTGTCATCATTTAGCCGACCAACAGCTCATCATAGGTCCAATATTTTCTGCACCGAGTACATGTTCACAGGGCAAATACACAACAATGGGCCAAAAATAAATAAAAAATTGACAAGTTCGGAAGCTTTGAACGTGGCGTAATTCCTCTTTTAATTAAAGTGTTCACCAAAGAGGGCTTGTTTCGATTTGCGACTAGTTGCTTCTGGCAAAAGTTCTAGAAGGCCGACCACTACATAGAGAGTACCAGTCATGAGCTATCGCTCATATGCCTAGAGAGGCGAAAGCAGTAGCTTCTAGGACGAAGCCGAGCTATAAATTAGTTACGATATGTATGGTGCTGATTCTTCGTCAGCTTAAAATTGAAACATTGACCGTTGCTTTGCCAAGGTAGACCCCATTTCAACCCCACCTCTGAAATGACTGGTAAAAAAAGGCCTAAATTTACACGTAACGATTATGAAATCAATTTTTTTTGCTTCAAAAACAAGCCAGACAACCCCTTAAAAAATGTTTTGGGCCACCACGAAAGCTGAAGTCTATTCAATTTTAAATTTTAACCCACCATATCATATTCATACCGTCCATGTTATTACACTACAAAACAAAAGGCAACTAACATAAACCAAATGAAACACATTAATTTTACATATCACTAATTTAAAAGGGGGGAAAAAACTTTGGATTTTTAGCCTCGATTCATCAAGTTCTCATGCTGCAAGTACCCACCCCAGTCCTTGCCGGCACCACCCGCCTCCACCAACTTACCGGCGCCAACCGCCCTTCTGTCGGTAAACGACCGAAAAACCCACGACACAATCGATAACCCCGCAATCGCCATGACGCCAGCCATCGAGAAGCCTAGCAGAGCAAAACCAACCACGCAGGCGGCGCCAAATATCAGCGGACTGAATAAAAATAGCAGTGGTGAAGTTACAAGAAGCAACGTCATAGTTGCAAGGAAACTGAATCCCATCATGCCGAGAAGTGGGCCAACTGTAGCTACTCCGGCGAGTGATGCATAGAGAACTGTTCTGCCGGACGTGTGACGGCTGCCGCCTGCTTCCATGAGCTGCTGTCCTTCACCCATAGTTGTCTTTTATTAATTGAGCCTCCGTAGTTTTGATAGAGCTGCATGAAAATCAGTTGAGTTATTATAATTGATACGGACGACACGTGTCAACATGTAAGTGTACGCGTGTCCGATGTTTATAGTGCACCGTATTTCAATCTTATCGTGGTCAAACGACACATTATCCAACTTTTTTTAGACGTTTACGTCCTTATCTGTTACAACTTAGTCCCTTGAACGCCAAACCTATCGACTCCCTGCACTCCCCACCTCCTTCTCATTTATCCCCACTCTCGATGATCAGTTTTGCTACACGTGCATCAAGTTTGTCATTATTATGAGACGATACCTATCTATACATTGATTTTAAATACACTTTAAATAATCAATTATAAAAATTTTGACGCGTATAAAAATATCAAACTTAATGTATACAAAGAATGTATAAGTAATTTAATTCCTCGATGACTCCATGCGTATCTATTTTATTAAAAAACAACTATATGTGTTATATAAATTTTGAATTTCGAACGGTGATTTGGACGAAATATATCTAATGGAGACAAATATGCTACAAAAATCGAAGGTTAAATAAGTAAATAACAAGATAATAAAATTTTGGGAACCGTTTATAAATATTGCATTAGTTGAAGACCTTGGCTACAATATTTCTAAGTCAGGATCCCAAACCTTTTAAAAAGGTGCTGCAGTGTCCCAAACCTTCTATTTTGTTCTATCGTCATCCCAAATATTTACAAAAAAATATGGAGCACTGGAACCTTTTGATGGAACCTGTCGGTTGACCAAGAATTCAGTGATTAACCTTGAAATTTGAATTCACGATTTTCATAAAAAGGGCAAAATGGTCTCTACATATTTTAAAAAGAAAAAAAGAAAAAGGGAGTCTCTGCCTTTAGTAGCTTCAATGAGATGAGGCACACTTCAACAAATGAATCGCTCGTAAATTGCAGCGATCCATCTACGTGCTCGCAAAATAAAACCTTCCATTACACTTTATGTCTACAATTGCGACGTTTGAATTGTCTTCTGAAAAAATTGAAAATTTGTAATGTTCAATGTTTAATTTTTTGCAAGACACGTGCTATTGTGATAGAAAAACTAACGATTTTTGTCTAGCAGTGACATGTATGCTCAATTTCACAAAATTTGGAGATCTACAGGTCTAAAAAACACGTGAGGACTCAATTTCTCTATATCATAAAGGTTGGTGACCTGAAAGTAAATTTTCCCTACTGTACAAAGTACAAAGATGGTAAAGGTAGAGTGAGCTTTTCTTTGAATATAGTTTCTCCTTTTTTTCTCATAATAGACCTATGATGAAAAGACCCTTCTGAGGCTACTGATGAACTGATGCTATCTTTTGACCTGATGCCTTCAATGCCAATGATGAACTAAATGTTTGAGGCAATTAGTTCATTCTTAACTACCCTAGTTTCTCAACACTCCCCCTCAAGTTGGGTTCGAATAAATTAATTGATCCCAACTTGCCAAGAATGTTAAGATGACTGGTTTTGTCGAGTGCCTTTGTAAAGAGACGTCAATTGGTCTTTGCTTCTAACAAATGGTGTTTCTATTTCTCCCGATTGTACTTTTTCTCTGACAAAGTGACAGTCGACTTCGATGTGTTTTGTCCTCTCATGAAAGACTGGATTGGATGCAATATGTCGCGCAGCTTGATTGTCGCAGTACATTTGCATAGTTCCTATGTGCTCTGTCTTCATGTCTCTAAGTAGTTGCTTGATCCAAGGGAGCTCACTTGCTGTGGATGCCATGGCACGATACTCTGCTTCAGCA